ATTGAGTTTGGAGATAACTAAATATTGGAGCATCACATTTTTTCCCTACGGCCATTTTGTTGACACCTCTTGGTAACTGCTTATTTATCAGTCTCTTGGACATTGTTCAATGTGGCCTGATCACTTCTATCAAGTCAGACCCAAAACATGTTTAATCATTAACGTTGATGTGGCACACATGAGTTTAAATCAAATAGACCCATTAGAGCAAACACGGTCACACTGCTTCTCAGTACTCTGTGGGTGCGTGGTGCGAGTGTCCTGGTGTGAGTGTGTTAGTGGCATCAGAAAATGAATATGTGTCTGATGTAACGTTTTTTAGATGTGTGCTGGTTCAAGGTTAAAAACTAACTAGAACTGTGAGAAAAAAGACAAGGGGTCAAAGTGTAATGAAGGTCAATGAAAAGGAGATCCATGGAAAAAGAGAGAAGGAAAGTCTGCAATAAGTGACAAAATAAGAGTGAAGTAAGATAACCCTCTTATTGTGACAGACAAACAATATATTTTTATATTATTTTTAATTAAATTATTGAATGAGTGAAAAGGATTATTGTGAAGACAGCGAACCAACAACATTTTAGATGTGATATAAGCTTCTGTCATGGGTCAACGATTAAGAAAAAGTAACGTCAACACATTGTAAACACAACTTTTAGTCTCTCGCAAATGTTTTACATTGAGTTTATAAGGTCATTTATTGATTTTTTCCATTTATCCGTGTTTATGTTAGTTTCCTGCTTCACAGCACAAACACAATTCAGCGGTTTGGAGCTGGTGTGTATGGTAAACTTTCTTAATGATTAATCAGTGTTAAAAGTGAACTCAGGTCACTTCTTAGAAACTTGTTGTGGGAGAATCAGGGCTTTAGACCATACTGAAAAATGCTCTGATCCATTTTGAAAGTACATGGACGAGCCAACGCTAAGCTGTCCATACTCTGCACCTACGGCTAAAACAAACAAAGCTGCAAGACAAAAGAGGAAGGCAGAAAACAAACAAGTGGGTGAATATATGTCCACAGGGATATGACTCGGAACAAAGGGAAAAGGGCAGTGTTATTTTACAAATGGAATCCGTATGAAATAGTACAACCCTGACCCTGTTAGAATAAACTTGAAAAATAAAAACTATGCAGACACATTGAGCTGAAGTTCAAAACACATCTGGAATACAAGTATAAACGAGAGGCAACTTCAATGTACTTCATCAGACTGAGACTACAAAGCAAAGTGAGCCCTTTGTGCACAGAGAAGGTCCAAATCCTACAAAGCACAGCCAAACAGGTGCTTTCTGCTAATCCTCTGTCCGTGTACATGAACGTGTCTTCCAATGAGTGCAGTTCAATGTGTAGAGGTGTGTGAGCATCTTTGTTTATGAGTATATAGCCATTATCATTTGAATCTATAAAAATGATCCTGTCTGTATTTATATGATCGACCAACGTGTCAAACCCAGTCTGCTGTATCCAAGTTCACCATCTCTCCAATACACTGAATACTTGAGCACAACAGAGGAAGAGAAAGGCTTTGTCTGTAGAGTCTTAAGTCTTTCTTTCTTTTGTTCAATCTTTCTCCACTTGGCATTCCAATTATTTTATTTCACTCAACTGTAAACCAGTAATACAGGACTTCACCGTTACAATTCTTGACTATAAAGAGAGGTACTCGGAGAGTTTGCTAATACTCATTGATTCTTGCATCTAAATCCTCATTCCTATTCTAACCCTTACTTTACTATTGAGTGCTGGTCCACGTTCGTCAAAATCTGGCCCGGTGTCCAACTTTTTCTAAATCTTTCTCCTCTGTTTAGTCTCGCATCTGGTTTTCCTAAATAAGTTCAAATAAATCACAAATGAAAAAACAAACAGCATGAAACATCTGATATGCTACAAACTAACTGGGCCGTTTCCAAAACTCAGTAAACGGTTTTTACAACACAGCCGTGGTGAGAGCATCAATGAGCATTTACTGATGTTTGAACTAAAAGATTGTTTAACATCCTCTGTGTTTTACATTAAACAAACTATGTTAATGACAGTAAACATTTACTAAATCTACATGCCTATGTTTAAAAAAAACATTTGCTTTCATGTTTAGATTTTTTTTTCTTCTATGTAGTTGGATTTTAGGCTATTTTACCAAAGGAAGAGTGAAAAGCTTTTGAGATATGATTCAATATGAACAACATCAAGGATTTCATTAGGATAAACTGTATTTGAATATAACAAACATCCACTGAGCAGGTCTAACAGAGTCATTCAAACAGCCTCTCAACACTGATAATGACATTGAGTAACATTCAAATGTTATAAAAGTGGAACTATTTATTCTTGAAAGAAAGATAAAACAAATTGGTGAAAAGCCTTAAGGTATTTATAAATTCAAAGGGAAGTCTTGGGCAAAAGGTCAGCTTGGGCGAATGAGTTGTTTTCCCGTTATCTTCATGCATCTTAACAGACTGCATTTAGTGACATCATTGAGAAGAGTTGAGATGGGTTGTTGTTCTGTTAACACATATTTAACCTATGATGAAAATTACACAACTCCTGGTGAGGTAAACAAACAGCCACCAGTGTCTCAACATTTGACTTGGTTCTGGAGCAAAAGCCTAAAAAATCAAATGTGGTTAGTGTTCTTTGATAAAACGTTCACCCACTGAATGTTTTTTAACACAAAAGGCCTTATAAAATGTTTTCACATATGCACATTTTAACAAAGATGAACCTTCAAACATTGCAGTTGAGGATCCAGCTTTGCCTCCCTCCCTTGCAAGTGTCTTTCAAGCTTCTGATCATGCTGCTTCAGTGTTACACTAATACAAAAAGTGCTGTCACATATCAAAGTCTGCAGAGTCTAGTGATGATCACCCTTTATGAGCCATCATCACTGCCAATATCTACAAGGCAATATAACAGTAGCCGTTTTCAAAGGCGGCTGGAAGCTTTGTTCTCCTGATTAGGAGACTTGGCGCCTGTTAAAACATGCACCGCCACATCTCTGGGTAACTCTTTGTTTGTGTGCCTCGCTTTATCATTATATAAGAACATTACAAGTTGGCGGTCTCTATGCTGTGGTGGTAGGGTGCAGAAGGGCTGTTTCCTTTTTCAATTAAGCCCCTTACCCCACAAACACCTCTGATTCACAAACACCTGCTTTCCATGGTGTTACTATGTTAATTTCTGTAGTAAACAGGTTAGGACTTGAAGACACACAGGAGGGTAAGAAGATGGAGAAAGATATAAAAAGTTTCTGGCTAATCATGATGAGTAAATCTTTTGGTTTTTCAGTCAATACTTTATCTGATCTAGACACAAAGGCATGCCAGTGGTCTTTAACATCAAAGCTACTGCATTAAGCACGCACACACAGAGACATAAGCCATGTCTTTAGAAAACATACTTTGCTCTTCTGCTTTGTAGGTGAACAATACAGTAAGCTGATCTTCACAGAGTAGAGGCGGGGACCCCGGGCTGTCTAGAGGTCCATCACACACAGAGCACTTTGGTTTGGTGACAGATGAGTCAACAGATAAGTCAACAGTACATTACACTGCAGAGATGAAGTTATTACATATTTCTTTCTTTGTCAAACATATATAATGTGCCGCTGTGTGGGCTGACCTAACCTCCTATCCAATTATTGAAGCCTCTTGAGACCACAAACCACCAAAAACTATATTTCTAGTATCTTTAAAAATAGGTTAACTTTAGAGGTAAGGAGGAAACCATTCTTTCAGTCGTACTCTCCTTTCCTTCTAGGAACTGTTTATAGGTCCTTGAGTGAGCTCAATACATCAAAACTTCAAACAAGAAAGCCAAAAACCCTCACTCACCTAACACAACATAAAAAGACCTCGCTGTGAGATATATGTTACGTTTCCTTTAAAACAGGGTACTGAACTGGTAGTTTTTTCCAAATTACAATATTTAAAATAAAAATACATGATAAAAATTTGAAAACCATTTGCATTATTATGCTGTCAAAGCATTATTAAGAAAAAGTATAAGCAAAATGAAAGGCTTAGAGGCATTAGGAGTGGGGCCCTCATTAGACCCTATACAGGAGGTATATGGCTTGTATAAACATTTTAGGAATGCGCAAAGATATACAACTGAAGCCTGGAGGAAAATATATCCGAGGTAATTAGGACTCATTATGGCACGATTATCATTTGGACATGTTATCCATCTGTGATAGAGATAGCAGTGTGTCAGCAACATTATAACACATTATCCTTGCCTCTATGCTGAGGAGCTCAGGTGAACAGCAAAGCCTGAGCACCAGAGCACGACCTCATGATAAGAGCGTCATGTGATACTGCTTAGCTAAGATACAATAATGTAAAGAGAATGATGAAAGGTGACGCAACGCTCTTCAGCTGACTGACTCAGATTCCTTTGCAGAAAACATTTGGACCGAGGGGGAGAGAGAGAATGATGACTCCCTGTACACCCCAATCTTTCTCCCCCCTCTCTCTTTGTCTCTGCAGTGAGCAAGGTGATGAATGTGTGTGCCCGTCTCAGTTCCTATTAATAGTATTAGTAGTATGGAGTGGACACAGAGGTGTCAAAGCCAGAGAGGGATGAGAGCTTTCACTCTCTCTTCCCCTCTCTTACTGAGATGAAACCGACTCTGCAGGAGAGTCCAGATGTAGCAGAGGTGGGGGGCGGAACGCAGGGGAAGAAAGGGGGTAGAGGTCGAAGACAAAGCCAGCAGCAGAGCTTCAAACAGCATGGTGACGGATTTACTACCCATACGATAAAGCAAACAACTTCTCAGCACAGTGGAGTGAAAGACTGGATTTGCACAGTGGGGCTACACAGACAGACATACTGACACATAGGTGCCCAGACAACAGTGGGTTAACTGATTTAACTCTGGAAGCACTGTGCTACTAAGAGTGGAAATTACACAGTTTCCTTTGAGAGTTAAGAGATAGTTCTGCCGTAGAAGACCACTGTTTATACACTCAAGCCTATAAATACATGAGTTTATTCATACCTCGTGAGTTGGTAGCCAGGTCGGCCACTTTCTGAAAGGCATCGAGGAAAGCCGCCACAGCAACCACCGTCGCCCTGGAGAGAAAAGAGAGGTTTAGTATGAAAATCCCACTGACTTTACTGATGTGAAACCATTTACAATACCATGTTTTTTAATAAATAAAGCTCTACAAAAAAGGAGAAACTAATTAGCAGTAGAGGTACTTCAAATCAGTCAAAGGTTACGTGAACACAAGTGGCTGATCTACAACAGCAATGACATACAAGTGTTGGCAAGCAACGAAAGAAATGAGATGATAAACTCATCAGATCTTCTTTGGCTCTGAAAATGTAGAGAGATAAACACCTTCTGCGCAGGCATGCACAAACTAAATGTGTACAAATGTTAGATTATGAAGCTTACATCCTGGTAATTTGAACACTTAAGTATGAATGATAGTGTCTGTATGTATTGTGAAAGTGTGAGTAAGTTCAAACTTAAACGTGCCCCGCTGTGTGAGGAATGTCTCTTTGATTACTTGGAGACCGCTGGAATCTGTCCAGGCTCAGCAGCCCTGAGCCCAGTTTGCCACACTTACAGGTCAATGAAGGGATCAATGTGGGATCTACCCTGTTCAGACTCAAATGGAAAAAGGGCTTATGGGAAATTCCCAACTCATACCTGCTTTTTATCGTGTGTGGTTAACCACAAAGTATTCACAAATTGCAGTATAAAATAATGCTGAAGACTAAAGAAAGGTCAAGATTCGAGTGGTCATTTAAAAAAGAAAAAGGGGATGCTTGGTGAAAGATTACTCTCAGTTTTACTCATACTTGCTGGTAAACTAGCTGACTAGTTACTTTGCTTGCTGGCAACATGTTGCCTCATTGGCAGGCCAGATGACTAGTTAACTGGCAAACACGGACTCACCTTCTCCAGAAGTAACAAGCCTCATGACTAACATCACAGGTATGGAGATGACGCTCTTAGTGTGTGTGTACATGCTTTTATGCAATATCTGATCCCATGAATAGAGACATCATTCCCATAAATCATGCATGCAACAAACAAAAAAACACAATTGCTCGGAAAATGTCCAAGGTCCGTTCAGCCAGAATAAGCATGTTTGTCTAAGCTCCGTGAAAAGCTTCATTTGTTAACACCTCTTATCTTTGAAGGGCTGACAGAAAACCATCAGCAGACAACCTGTGAGTTTCCATAAACACACCAGACAGGTAACTTTAACAAGTGGGAAAAACACCAGCTGAGAACAGGCTGCTGGCATCTCTCAACTTTGACTTGCAGATGGATATTTAAGGTGTATTTTAACACCATTGCATATCTGTCTGTTTTCTGATATTACTGAGTAGTTTTTAGCATGATCAATTATTTAAAATACACTATGGATTAAAATTGTTCTTAGAAGATGTTCATAATGCTGAGTTGAGAAGTATTTTCTAAATCTAAACCATCTCAAGTCTGTTAAAGTTATCAGTCACTTTATGGAGTTAACATCTTAGAGGGGCCTTCTACAAAGCATGAACAAAAGGAAAAACAGAACATAACTGGTGAACAACACTGACCCAAAACTGAATTACAGGCCTTAAGATTCTTCTACATTCATTTGACAGGCAAGCTTTAGTATTAAGTAAATTAAGGAACTTCCTTTGTCACTCAAAAACTTCCTAAAATATTGGCTAATAAGTGCTGTGTTTTTGCAGAGCTGACCAGAAGATCCAAGGGTGTGTCCTGCATGTGGAAAAAGAGACATACGCACAGGCACACACAGATTCCTTTCTATTTAAAGCCCACTGCGGCCACCAGAGCAACCTCCAACTGATATCCGTCTCCACTCATTTATACCCTATATACACTGGTCTGTGGATTTTATTTTACGTGCACTAGCAGCCGGGTCTTGTTCAGTCAAGTTTAATGTATCAATCAAAAACAGGTTTGTGTGGGAACGTGGTTTTAACAGCCTACTCTAAGTGGATCCAGTCATCGAAAGTTAAATGCGACATTGCCAAGAATTGTGAAATGATCATTATTGAAAAATCAACCAAACAAAACATTTCCGGCTCAGTTGACAGTGACTAATAATTAATATTATCAGGTATTAATTTAAGCTCATCCTCATCCTGTAAGCAAAAAAGCCTCAAGATTTGCGTTGACATTTAAAAAGAAAAGGCATTTCTGCCGCTCCGTACAGTGCTCCGACAATTAACCGAGTGCTACCATTGGCCTTAAAATCTGCACACGCCCCTGTCCGGGAGTCAAGACAAACGACTCTAACATATCTATTCCACAAGGCCCTGGCCGAGCCAATCTAAACTCCCCAAAGACCCTGGCGTAGCTCTCCCTGACAATGATACATTCAGCACTGCTGCTCCCATCTATTCTTAGTACAACTGAGCCTGGAATGTGACTGTAGTAAATAGGAATTATAGAAAGAGGTTGTGTTTAACACTACTTGTTTGACACATCATACAAAGACTCATGACAGAGATAAGTCCTTTGAGCATGTTTTAAGCAAGTTTTTATATGTACATATGTCTGTACTGTATGTATCCGTCTATCAAACTACTAATTTGTATCTATATATTTGTCCACTAATTTCTACATATTAAAGGGCTCCTCCATGAGACAAATTAAATTGTTTAACCATAAAGCTCATACGATGAATTTGAAGTTTTTTAGGTGGTCTTTTTTCACAAAAAAACCTCAGAAGCAATAGGAGGGAGGCATAGCTCTGACACAGCTGCAACAACCATGAGCCACCAAACACTCAAGTTGAAAGAGGACTGTGATTAGAAATCAGCTAGCCTATATTCCACCCTGCCCTCTTTCTTCAAAGCTGTTCTGTGCCCGTGCGTGCGTGTGCGTGCGTGTGTGATGGCTGCTCAAAACCAGAATGGCCAGGGAAAAAACTGCATATTTGGACAAAAAAAAAAAAGACAGAACAGGCCTAGCACTGTAATTGGTTGATTTCCTAGTTGAGAGGGGCGCAGAGGGTCTAAATTACAGAGCAGTGTGCCTCAGGACGTCATTACACACAGACATGCCGCTACCACTGCTGGCTAGTCACTTATCCAGGCCGGAGGGAAGGTGGGTGTGTTTGTGATTTACTGTATGTGTGTGTGTGTGTGTATCCTTCTATGTAGCCCGGTCCCCAAGCAGATTACAGAGGTCCTTGGGTATGGGGGGTTATGTTGTAGTCTAAAGGGCTAGTTTAGCTAAGTTTAAGTGGCTGGAAACGATCTTTAAAGGAAGGCTCTAGTCGTTAGATAGTTAATAAAAACTTCAGTATTTAGTGAAACATTATGTTTAAACCATACCCTGAAGAAATCAGCGATATTCCCCGGTAAATAATGATTTTATAGCTCTTTTTTATCAAAACCTGTATATTCCGTCAGGCAGCTGCCATTTTGGCCATTTTCAGTAGTCACATGATCCGAAAAACTAGGTCGTGACGTCACCTATGCGTTCACTTTGTAAACACGACAGCTCATTCGACGAAAACATGGCGGAGTATTTGAGTTCGGACTCGTCAACCGAGGAAGAAGTTTTGAGCAATGTGGAGAGATTGGATGGGGGAATTCAGCCATACAGGTTCGAGCCAAGTGGCCAGAACCGTCAGGAATCCAGGGACAGTGACGATGAGGATGAACAGCACGGTGATCTTGCTGGAGACGATCCCTTTACTCGTGCAATTGATTTCTGGGGGCGAGTAGGGAGACCTGTACATGAATGGTGTACTTGCGATCGGTATGTAGCCATGGACAACCCTCTTATGAACATATGTTGTCATGAGCTTGAAGAGCTTGAAAATAAACTGTTCACAGACGACTTGGATTGCATATATTTACACAGGGAATTCGACACTGTGGTGTTAGAAAAAGCTGTATTGAGAACAGCACTGGTTGCCATGAAGGATGTGAAACGCACCTCTTTGGTTGAACCAATAAAATGAAAGGTGGGTAAATTTGACGGGTACAGCCCTTTCTTCTTAGCATTATATACTTTACAATTATTATTATTATTATTATTATTATTAATGGACATATCAAATAAGAGATTTTATTAGGTTAGGAAGTTCTAGATTAAAGATTGAATTTATCAAAAGTTTTATAATGACGTTTACATTCTAGGAGGAAATGATTTTCATCCTCAATCTCATGGCAATGTTTGCACAACCTGTCATTCACAGGAGTATTTGTGTATCGACCATATTCAATAAGAAGTTTATGGTTGTTAATTCTAAAGCGTGTCAAATGGATTCTGTCTACAATTGCATGGCAAGGACATGAAGGACAATGACAGATAATTTTCNTTAGTTTACTGAACCAAGCTGAGTGTTTTTCAAGGCTTAGGAAACCCTTGCAGGTGTTTCGAGTTAATTAGACGATTCAAGTGATTCGTTGAACACCCTACTAGTATACTTTTTCATGATATTCTAATATTTAGAGATAGGATATTTGAGTTTTCTTAAGCTGTATGCCATAATCAGCAATATTAAAATAATAAAAGGCTTGCAATATTTCAGTTGATTTGTAATGAATCCAGAATGTATGACATTTTTGTTTTTTTAATTGCATTACAGAAAATAAAGAACTTTATCACAATATTCTAATTTTCTGAGACAGTCCTGTATGTGTTTAAACCTAGATACATTTTTTTGACATGATAGCCGATATAGCTGACATCTAGAAAATGTACTTTGACAAGCAAAAAACGTTTTTTTGTAAAAATGTTTACTTACCAGACCACAATGAGTATCTCTCTTTCACAGGCAATGAGAAATGGGTGGAGCTTGCATAATTTCTGGTCACTTGATTACAACTATAAGGCGTTGCCTGGTTACAGGGGGTGGTTCAACTTACCCACTGGCTCAACTTACCCCGTTCTCCCCTACTAACATTTGGTTGCAATTTGGAAAACAAAGAGGTATAGCAGGATCAGTATTCTGTTATCTGGGTTATGGTATTGGAAAAAATTGGATATAGGCATCCGTAAGAAAAAAACACCTACCTCATGCCTTTGTATTGCATCATAAGTCGTTTACTTTAAACCTGTATCTGTGCAAATGTGTCCATGAAACAAAATGACCAATAGGAGTGTTTATTTCTACCCCCAGTTATTTGGTGGTCTTGTATGGATCCTGGTGGCTTCCTCCAATGTTCCCGTGCCTCTGCTGCAGGGCTGGGTGATGTTTGTCTCCATCACCTCCTTCATCCTATCCTCCACCTACCTCATCTTCCTCGTCACTGGCCTGGCTGACCGCATCATCACAGACTGGAACGTTCTGGTGAGCTGTAGACAAATGAGTTGAGATAACATAGTCAGCCTGCTGGGATATTTTTTCTTAGGGTGCAATTTGGTGCTATATATATATATATTAAAAAAAATGGCGTGGGGCTCCGTTGGGGGGGCGCAGCGCCCCTCCAAGACAATGGTAGGGGAAACACTGTATTTATTTTAAATAATTCCTTTTAATATATGAGAAGTAAAAAAAAAAGTAAATACGTTTTTGTTAGTATAATTGATTAAAGATTGCATTATATTCTAAAGTTACATTTTCAAGTTGTTATGTAAGTTTGTATCTATGAGAAACAAAAGGAAAATCACTCAAATCATCCACCACCACACAGCACCTATTCAAGTGTGGGCACACAGATTACATTCGAGTTGTTTTACTGATTATATCATGAATTAAATCTATGAGAAAATAGTTGTTTCAAATCACCTATCACCTATAACCAGTGTGTTCGTGTGTGCACTGTTGCAAAAACTTAACTTCTTTTAGCCTATAAAAAAGACAATGAATTTTATGGAACAGTATTTTTTACCATCTAGAACAAGCATAAAAAACAGTAGCTGGAGGGCTTGCTTGTAATGCAAGTACTAAAAAAATTGCTTCTTCTTCGATCTAACTGCACAGCGAGGCAGATCATCTATTTATTAGCTCTCTAAGATCATGCCAAGCGTGTGGCTCAAGATGCTAGAAATCAGTGCAGCAAATGAGTATATATTTCAGCAGAACATCTGCAAGTTATGTCTAGTTTGCTTGTCAAAACATCCATAACCATAATGGGTCTAGGTTATAGGCATTAAATACCCTGCTTATGACATTTTCAATAAACATTTTCACCTACATAAAGTTGTGGATGGAAAATATATAATGTAAACAACATAAAATCACTATTACAAGACAATCTCTAAGCAGCACTGGGGAGCATTCTCTGTGAGTGCAAGGTATGATATATACTGTATGATAGAAAAGTGATGCACTGTTAAATGTACATACCGGTATATATAAACACATTAAGTCACTGTTATGTACTGTGTGATGCGTCTGGGTCCTCAGACAGAGCCAGCCTTACCTCAGGCTCCAGGCTCTGCTCCCAGAAGGAGCCCGGTGGCTGGGTTTGTTTGTTTTCGGCCGAACAATGAGTGACATGGATGATGAGCTCACACTATAACAAAGGCCTGCCTATAGTCCAGCGACAACACAGTCTTATTAACCTGCTTAAATATTCTGACACTCCCTTTTTCCCTCTGCATCTTAATCCCTCTCTCTGTCTTTCTTTGTGGTTTTTCCTTAATAATGTTGACTTCCATTTTATACTCCTTTTTATTTTAAATGTTTCTATAATTTGCCATGTTTTTGTGTTGCTCTTGTGTAAAGTTAATTAGTGTAAAAGCTTGGGTTATTGACAGATGGCCATGTTTGTTATGTGACTTCCAAAGTCCAGGTAGCTTTAGTTACCAGTGCATTGTCTAATAATTACCCGAGGGGATACAACTGACATTTTGGCCATTCTTTATATCCAACTGCTGCTATTACTGTTTTGTTTTTATATCTAATGCATACTTTTTTTTGTCCCACAGGATGTAACTTACCATTTTATGGCATTGCTTTTCTACTTTGCCGCCTTTGTGTTGGAGGCAGCAACTACGGCAGCTAATGGAGGAGCCCACATCAAGATACTGCCCAACAGCACTGAAACTGTCATGTGTATAGCTTACCCTCGGGGCAATATATTCACAGTCATGGATGACAGGCAATACAGTGTTAATGTGGCAGCCACGGTGAGTGCTATATACCTGTTTTTAAATGAAGTCTGTATCACAGTGTGTGTGTGCAAAGTGTGTGTGTTTTAAATCATATTATCATAATGGACTCAGTATTATTTAATGAAATGTACCATAATGTTAAACCCTGTTACATTTGACTTAGGAAGGTACCTGCTGAGTGCCTTAGAAAGACTTGAAAAAGAATCCAAAGTTTCTACGAAAAGTTAATTGATGAACTATATCTGATATCCACCCTGTTATTCTTTCAGGCTCTTAATAGCTTACTTTCAGAGAAACACCTCAGGTGACACATTTGTGTACAAAGAAGTACAAATTCTTGACTTTGCTTGCTATTCTTTGTTTAATTTATATATATAGTGGAGGAAATAAGTATTTGATCCCTTGCAGATTTAGTTAGTTTGCCCACTTAGAAACAAATGAACAATCTATGATTTTAATGGTAGGTTAATTGTACTAATGAGAGAGAGAATATCAACAAAAAAAAATCGAGAAATTGACATTACTGAAAAGATAAAAATTGATTTGCATTTAACTGTGGGAAATAAATGTTTGATCCCCTTGCAAAACATGTGTTAGTACTTGGTGGAGAAACCCTCGTTGGACAGACAGAGGTCAGACACTTCTTGTAGTTGGTCTCCAGGTCTGTGCACATCTCAGGAAGGATTTTGGTCCACTCCTCACCCCCAAAGCATAATGTTTCCACCTCCATGCTTGACGTTGGGGATGGTGTTCTGGGGTTATAGTCAGCATATCTCTTCCTCCAAACACGGTGTGTCGAGTTGATGCCTTTATCTGGATTTTGTTCTCATCTGACCACATCACATTCTCCCAAGCCTTCTCATTCAGATGACGATTGGCACATTTCAGATGGGCCTTTCATGTTCTTCTTGAGCAGGGGGCCCTTGCAGCGCTGCAGGATTTTATCCATTATTGTGTAATGTGTTACCAATAGTTTTCTTGGTGACTGTGGTCCCAGCTGCCTTGAGATCATCAACAAGTTCCTCCCGTGTAGTTCTTGGCTGATCCCTCACCTTTCCCTCACGAGATCTTGTGTGGAGCCCAAGTCAGACGGCGATTGATGCTCATTTTGTCTTTCTTCCATTTAGAAACACACACATTGTCCTTCTGAATAATGGCACCAACAGTTGTCTACTTCTCACCAAGCTGCTTTCTGATGGTCTTGTAGCCAATCCCGGCCTTTTGCAGGTCTACTGTCTTGTCCCTGAGGTCCTTAGACAGCTCTTTAGTCTTGCCCATGGTTGAGCGGTTGGAATCAGATTGATTGATTCTGTGGACAGGTGTCTTTTATACAGGTAACAAGTTGATATTAGGAGTACTTTTTTTAAAGGAAGAGGACTTATGTAACTGGTCTGTGGAAGCCAGAATTCCTGTTGGTTGCAAGGGGATCAAATACTTATTTCCCACAGTTAAATACAAATACATTTGTATCTTTTATATAATGTCAATTTCTGGATTTTTTCTTTTTGATATTCTCTCTCATTAGTCAAATAAAGACTGTTCACTTCTTTGTAAGTGGGTAAACTTACAAAATCGGCAAGGGAACAAATACTTATTTCCTCCAGTGTATATACTTAAATGTTGTTTTGGGCTGATTACAATTAGTAAGTGATCCTACAGACCTGTAGGAACCTACTGAGCTAAAAAAATATTATAAATAGATATGGAACAAACTAATAAGTTATCAGTCAGTAAATGTGAGTGAAATTGCTGGGGTATTTCTGACCAACTGTGTTTTTGCTCTCTCTCCTTTTATCTTTTTATCCCAGGTATTTGCATTTGTGGTGACATTATGTTATGGCTGCAGTATGGTGATGGGATTCAAGAGGTGGATGTCGTAACCAGAAAAAACTAAACTGTGGAAACTTCAGTTTAAAAACATTTACATGACTTCAGCATGTATTAAAATCAGCACACCATCAGTTATTTCCTGTTGGTTAACTTGCATCATAAAAAGGGAAAAGTAATACATATATTTAAAATGTCTGCCTCAATCAAACATGTGTTAAGTTTTCTGGACAATAAATCTGTTAAAGGTTTGGGTTCAGGTAGGTTCAGTGAGGGCTGTTTGAAGTGTCTATACAGGATAGTAATAAAGAATTGCAGTTTAAGTTGGCTGTACACGGTCATTCTCATAGGAGGAACTATTCCCCTTTTTTAAATGACCACTACAACATGCCTATTAATGCTGCTCATGGATAATGCACTGTATAACAATAATGTGATGCTGCAATTTGTTTGAAAGATGATGGTTTTTACTTTCCTTCAGTTTCCTTGGTGCTAAGGAGCTATTTTCTCACTAGATTTTGATATGAATTCTATTACATTTCAATGTAATCCTATTAAAAGTGTAAATTGATCTGATATTTAAATTTCAAAGTTGCAATTCTTGTTGTGAGAACTTTGTATCCAACGTGTTCAGTTGTTCATATATTGTAACAATTATTCCATTCTCAGTTAACACAAGTTACATAATAATATGTGTAAATGTTTAAACTTTCTGAGTGCAGTCATTTGTGGCTAACTCCATTTTGACTGTTTCTCATCAGTCAGCTACTATATTTTAAACCGTGATCTTAATCTACTAATGGACCATTAAATGTATGCGAGTATAGCATCAATAATCATATTGCTACATGATGTATTAGTTGTATTTACTGTATGCTTTTTTTTTGCATATACATGTTGTTAACTTAAAATCGTTTTTAATAAATTGTTTTAACACTTGGTTTTTCTTGAAATTTGAAATGCTTTTAAGAACTACACAAATAAAGGTTTTGAAGAAAAAATAAGCTCTTGTCTGAGCATCATTACAGGGTGCAGTGTTTCCTGCCACAGTGATGCAACAATAAGGCACTCAAGTAAAAAAATAATTAAACAAAGTGAACAAGGTCCATCTCTTCATCTGTGAGAGGGTAAAACAGTGATTTAGCCCTGTTGTTTACCAATAAACTCAAATGACATTAAACGATATGCAAATAAAGCCGAGAAGTACTTTTGGGATTTCATAATAAATATTGCGTTTTGTTTCTGAATCTTCACAAGTTGAGGTTTAGTCTACTTCATATCTAACATGTTTTTTCCAATGTTCTCTTCGTAGCAGAAGTTTTGGTCCATTTCAGATGTTTTAATGTGCATTTCAATAGCATCTATAAAGCATTTGTCCATAACATCTATTTGAGACTAACTATTTGAGTTGGTGTTAGGGCTATCTCCACCACATGTTGCTTGGGCTGGTAGTTTTCTCCGATACACCAGTTGGTGTTACAAGTTTTTGATGTAGAGATGAGTGTATGTGGCCTTATAACTTATATGTAGTATTAAAAGTTCTGATTGTGATTAATAAAATGTACATGTATATATGCAAATATAATATTTCATGTATTGTTATCTAGTTGTGTGGAAATGTTTGATGTAGAGATGTTTGTTAAGCTATTATAGGGCATATTTTGACGTCAAGGTTAGTGTAAGTAAGATTTGCTATATCTTAATGCCCTTGTAGAAACGTTTACAAATAAAAGTATCATCTATGTTGTCATTCTTATTTCAGCCACTAGATGTCGCCCATTATCTACAACTGTTTCACTTTTCAATATTTATCCCATGCTTATGTAAAACGTTTGCGTCAAAAAAAAGTATTGCTAACGTAATTCAATATTGTGCTTTTATCATGCACCCTTAGCCCAAATTGTCAAAAATAAATTGTTATACGGTTAAAATAGTTATTACTTCGTTCTTATTCAGTTTGGCTTGTCTTTTTCACTCACAGCTCACCTATGCATCTCCCATCATCATGAAGCATGGAGTCAAACTGAAAAATAGCGCAGGTATGGCGGGTATTCCTTCAAAATAAAAGCAACAACACGCCCGTAAACGTGTATTAAAAACAGTTTTAAGACGAGGTTTACGTTTAAGATGATGTTCTATTTGAAATGATGCACACGTTCACAACGTTGTATTTTTATTGGGATGTCATTGTCATGTTTCGTGTAATATATTTTCAAAATAATGGATAGATAAACTAATCTAAACTAACTTGAGCTTTTGCTGATTTCAAATATATATCACATGATTTTAGGTTTAAAAAAAGAGAAGACGACTTTAAAATATTCCAATTTATCACGTGTTTTATTTTGGTGTAAAAATACTCAACCGGAAGTGCATGCGGTAATTGGCGGTAATTGGCGGTAATTTCTCGTCTTGTTTTTTCTCTCTCAGTCAGTGTTGAGAAGGCAGTAGGAGCACCAGTGAGTGTCGGCATTTACCTGTCAATATACGGAATAACATTACCAGTCTAACATTGGGAATATTTATAGTTTCGACTAGCAAACTGCAAAAGAGCCTCTTCACGGTCCAGCCATGGGCATGAGCGGGGCGGCGTTGCAGAGAGAGGGGGATTTAAATGTCTCTTTCGTCCCAGCAGCTTCTTTTGATTTCAAGTAAACGGTGCAACCGAGCAGAACCGAGCTGTGTTTCTTTGCACATTCCACCGATACGAAAGTTGTTGTGAGTCGATTAATTCACTGCAGTAGCTTTACATAGGTGGTTTATTTCGTTTTTGTTTATATTTTGGGAGTATTTGCTTTTCCTGGAGAGCGGAGGTGGAGAAGTGAAAGCGGCTCACCGAGTCGGGACTGACCGCTGGAGTTAGTCCTGAAAATGGAGGCTGTTATCGAGAAGGAATGCAGCGCTTTTGGAGGACTTTTCCAAACTGTTATCGGAGACATGAAGGTAGGCCAGAAGAAATTTACAACACAAATAATGTTATCTGAGAGCCTTTAAGTGAAAGGCGAAAACTTTCACTGCCAGTTACTTCCTAAACATCTGTCTAAAGTCGTAAATGTGGATTACCGTTTGAGCCAGCTAATCAATGTGTGTTAGCTTTCTGGACCCGACTGAAATATGCATCAATCTTCTTATTAAAACATTTCGTTATAACTTAAAGTCGACAGAATGTAGTAGTCTAAAGCTGAGAAAAGTTGAGGTATTATCGCAAATTATGGTTATGATAAGTAGTCCATAACTTTTCTACACATCTGCACAGCCCTCCACTTTAAAATATATTATACTGTTATATATTGCCATATATTCATTGTAGCATACTACGTTTTTTTTTAGTTCCTTTTGTCTATTTATATTTTGTGTAAACACTTTTCTTTATTCTTTTTTAATGTACCATTTGTTTTTAAACATTTTTTTAATAAACATTATATATATATTTGTTCTCTCTTTCTCCTCATTTCTTTGTTTATGTTTGCACCACTATACGTCAAAGCAATTTCCTTTTATGTGTAAACGTACTGGCATTTAACTGGATTCTAACCTATGATTCTAACACGAAAGTGTTCCTTAACCTGCCTGTATATTAACATAACTATGTACGTTTTTGTTTTGTGGTGGCTAGCTAAATTATAAATAATATTTGACTGCACTCAAATGTATTCCTCCCATTTTATTGTATTACAAAAGTTTTCAATCAATCAATTTTACGTCAATGTGTTCCAGTTTAACCTGAAGCTGCAGCCAACATTGGATAAAGGCTAAATAGGGCAATCTTCAGTCTCAAAACTAGGGCATCTTATTTTGATGTAATCTCTTACAGCTTGGTCAACGAGACTTAGCAATTTCCCAGCTGTTGTACTTGACTGTAGGAATTCCGTGAATGTAGCTGTCAGGGTAAAAAAAAAAAACCCTTAAGGTCTGAAGGCTTTGACATGGGAGATCAAATGGACACATATCGGGTCTATTGGAGTCACAACGTTTGTTATGAATACTGCTCAGATATTCAGCACTTCTCAGAGGCCCATGTCTCACTTCACCAGGTAGTTCATGGTTCCCCTGTCTTTTTACTGCCATACAATCTAGTGGAAATATTCCATTGCGAAATTAGTTTTGTCTGTACTCATTTCCAGTGATGTTTTTTTCTTTTAGAGCGCTACAGATGGAGTTATGTGCTCAAAAAATAAGGTAAAGCTCACTAAACCTAAGCTGTCAACACACGCAGTAAGACATGATATGAGAAATGCAGAGAAAGCTGCCAGTGTTTGATATCTGTGGAAGAGCATCAGGGAGAGCTGGTGGTAGGAGAGTTAAAATAAGTGATGTAAGGGAAATTCAAGAGGCAAAAACGAGTTACCATAGTTGGAGAGAGTTGAGTTGTTTGTTGGGTGAAATGTTTGACATCACAACATGACATTCCTCAGACCCCTGACAGTAGTGGCACATTAGTGACAAACATGAGCTCATGCATATGCATCGCATTATCTGGTGGTGTCTAAGACTTCTCTTTGTTTCATTAGGCCACTTGTTCTCTGTGATGGTTTTGATAGAAGGCTCTTCTAAACTATTTTCAGCCCGGGACCTGAATTGAGTAAATGTAGAGTCCCTCTGGAAACCAGGCTCATTAAACCATGTATTAGTGCTCTTATTGTGTGGGGATCTTTCCAAAAGAGGCCTGTGACCCATTTTAAAACCTATTATATGCAGGATATTACAGTATGTCCTATAACTTCAATCCGATTCCCTCAGGTCCACTGGCAACAAGAAGGAAAAACATGTGTTTTGGGGTGACATGCGTAACTGGCTTGCATGTATGGGGAAAGCCTACACCTTGGTTAGCTCCGTTTAGCCCTGCAGGGGAGGTGAGGCATCAGTATGGCCTCTTGTTGATTCAACTGTTATGTAACTGTGGGAATAGTGACATCTTTAGTGATGTTTTTATCATTCATGTTTCTGTTTTTTGTTTCCCTTACAGAGCAGCTACCCTATCTGGGAGGACTTTATCACAAAGGCCGGCAAACTGCAGTCGCAGCTCAGGTGAGACCGTCTTTATGTTTACATTAAACACAATTGTATGTTTCTGTATTTTTTTGATAAATGAAACACAAACTATTAAGATATTACTTCTCATATTTGCACAACAGTAACTGAAAGAAACTTCTATTAATAAGCATTTTCTTTAGCCAATTCTCTGGGAAATGTTACGCTTAATGTAAATTGTAACTTGGCAATACACATTTTGGATCACTAACTAAAACGTTTCCTGGCTAGAGTAACTCCTCTTTGACTGTAGCATAACATCTCTGACATCCCTCAAACACAAAAAAAAAAGTATTTTTGTGTATTTTATGCCCTTTTGCGTTGGATGTCAGTGTCAATTCCGTGTTGAATAAGTTTTAAGTGGCCATTTATCCTTACACTAACAAGCAATGACAGTCGACATAAAAGCCTAATCTCTTAACAATACTTTCCAGGGGGCATTATGTGTCCCTCTATCCCATTTAGTCTTCTTAAGCCCGATTTAATTTGTGTTTCTACTGCTGTAAATTTGCACAACTCCTGCCAAAATTATTCCAAGTCATCTGCTAACAATGGATGCCAATCCCAGCCACCTCCCCTAGTTGGTTTTAAGTGGCCACGTGTCAGGAGACAAATAACTTATGACAGCTGGAATAAAAGCTTATTGTCCAGCAAGTACTGTAAATATGGATGTCCTGTGGTCTAAATGATTCTCTGATTAACAATGGATGGCAGTTCTCTAGCCATTTAAGTGTCCACGTGTCCTGAGACAGACCGTCAGTGACAGTTGCATAAAGGCTCAGGGACTCAACAATACTTTCCAGGGGCCACTCAGTGTCCCATTCTTCCATTTTATTCAGTATTAAGGCTGATTAATGGTGATATGTTATTCAAGTGTCTCCATCATTCAGGGGTTAAATATGTGGCCCTGCCATGCAACAGCTCAGGGGAGTATTTGTGGCCTTGTTGCTAATGACTGGCTCTTTGGCAATAGGATGTCTGTGTGTCTGGGCCAGGATAAAAGAACAATTCCACCTGTTATTTTTGACCTACTTATTTGATGGCAATACACCACCTTCCTACCCAGAAAAGAGAAATACCTTATTTACAGGAAGAGTTAAGTGTCATTCAGAGAAAGACGACCATATTATAGTATTTTAGGCTAGCTGGTTTCCTGATAAAGCTTAACTTACGCCCAGGCAGCAGTGGTTGTAGCATATGGTTGGCTATAACAATGCCCTTGCTGCTGTAGCTCTAATAAGGGTGTGCTATCTGGGCTTTGCTCGCTATGACCCACAAATAAAGCTTTAAAGGGAGGGAATCCTCATGACACACATTTTTAAATAATTATCATCCGATAAAACAGACCAGTCTCTGCCAGTCTTTTTTTAATTTTTTTTTATCCGATGACGTTATCAGTGATTTTAAGCTGATTAATTACCGAAATAACATCAACCCTGTGGGCGCCGCCATTTTGACGAGTCACATGACTTATTTTACCGGAAGTGACGTGAACTATGCGTTTGGTGTTGAGGACAAATTGACGTATTTGCTTTGTTCATGTTGTTTACTCTAGTTACTCTCACAATTCTATTGAAATATGCCTCATTGTATCGCGAAACATTGCCACAATTCGGATAGGAACAATCCACGGAATGCACGTGTGCTCCGTGAACGCTCCGGAATGCTTTCTTTATTTGATTGATTAACTACTATGAAATGTATTCAACTACATTGTACCATTATTATGTTAGGCAGGGCTGCCAACACTCACGCATTGAGCTTGAGAGTCACGCAATTAACCCATATCTCACGCACTCACGCCACACTTGCCTTTCCTCACGCTAAGTTTTCGTCCAAAACAAATGTATATAAATATAAAAATAAAGTGAAGGAACAGCAAACCGAGCGGTCTACGAAATGAGACGGTCTTCTGGCTTAGTTCAGTAAATATGGAACGATATTGGGAGATTCTGATTTCACGGATCAATAACTCATGAAAACGTTATTCAGACACAAATGACGTCTCCTAAGTACCGTGGTAANGTACTTGGTTGACTTTCATCACAGGTAGTAGGGGAGAGTGGGGTAAGTTGCTATGTGTCATTTCTCCTTGCTTAGAGGAGAGCATAACTAAAAAATGGCTCAACTTACCCCACTCTCCCCTACTACCTGTGATGAAAGTCAACCAAGTACTGTACATTAACTGAAGAACAGCACTGTACTTGAGAACATATTTAAGGTACTTTAAATGTCTTTAGTTTACTTTAATGCAACTTATACTACTGCTCCGCCACATCCCAGAGGAAGATATTGTATTTTTACTCAGCTGCCATTGTAGTTGTTTTTCATTTAAATACAAAAAAATAGGTTTTGCATCATCTTGAACATTGCTTTTAATACACTGCTGTACTATATTCTCAACTATTACTGTGTGGTGACAGAGTGGAAAGGGAATGTAGCAAATGTAATATTTCACATCGTTTGTTTCAAACATAAGACAGTTGATTAAAAAACATAACAATATGGTGTTTTGAAAATTCACAAGTATTTAAAGCTTACTTTGGTAATGATAAGATGTTGGAACTCGAAATTTGAATAACTGTTTCCACCTAAAGGCCTATCTACATGCTTTCAACTGGATAAAGATAAGTAGACAAATTATTATAAGGGTGCAGCATGTGCAGACACCGTGTCTACTCTGTACGCTACACCCTTATAATAACGTTATATTAAGGTGAAAGGACATTGTACTCAATTTGATGTTGTACAGGCCTTACACTGGTCTAAGGCAGGTGTTTTGAACCTCACGATATCGCTCGAGGCGACATTGCCCTTGCTTTGGTTGTCAAGCGTAAGCAAACACAACTCAGCCTCGAGCAATCTCAGCGATTGGTTTTGGCGTTGGTTTATATACAGTCTATGGTTTAAACATACACTCTATGGTGTGTAAACCATAAGCAGTGCGCATATTAAAGGGGAAAGACTGGTTAAAATCTAACTGGACTTCAACAACACAAGGTTATCAATTATTCATAAAGAATAGTGGCTATGTTCTGCAGTATTCACTCTACAACTCCACTTAAGTCACTGATATAAGAATATCATACAGGAATACGGTGTCTATAAAATACGCACTTACTATTTCTAAACAGACAAGGGCTCCAGAGTAGGTTCTCAATACGTCCAGTCCCAAAGGTAGAGAAAGAGTAGGCGCTGGGAACGAGGTGGCAGCGGGATTAGTGGCTGGTTCCGACATCTCTAAATCTCTCACTCTCTTCTCTCTATCTCCCCTCTCCTCTGGCTCTCACCCTCTGTCTCCCTCTGAAAAGACTCCGTTGAACAAAGGACGGGAGCAACGGAGGAAATTCCTGTGGAGTCATGTGTCCCCCAAACAGGTCGGACAGGTGCAGGTGCCACTCCCATGGATGTATAATAAGAACGGCCACTCCCAGGAACCAATGCTGCATTCAAGGACCTTACGGGAGCTCCGAAATAATGCTTTTATTTAAAAAAAAATCTCATATCACATGTTCGTGTGAGATTAAATGAAAACGTCTCCATTTAAGTGGTATTGATTGGCTGTGCTGATAACTTTTGTAGTTTATTAAAATAAACCCACACATTTATATTACGTAGATTTTCGGGGCCACAACATAGGCAATGTAGTCCTTTAACAATTGTAAATATCAGCTTTGATGCAGCAGTGGGATGTAGCCTACTCATTAAAATTAGAAAGGTATTGTGTTCAACTTGACGTGTCAATATCTTTAAAAAAAACGTTCTTAATACAAATCAACTCTCTGTAGTAGGCTAGGCCTACTGTAGTTAACAGTAGCACAATATCCACAGATACACATTATTGCAGCTTTAAACATATTTCGAAGACATAATTATACATAAGTCAGCTGACTCTTATGTATAATGATGTCTTTGAAATATATATAAATATATAGGGGATAGGGACCCCTAATGTAATTTTTTGATGACTGATTATAAAGGTACAGTATGTGCTGTTGTCTACTTCTGTTAACTCCAACACCCACTTTGTCAGTCTGTGTGAGCATCCTGAATCCGCTGACAGCTTGGAAAGTGAGAGGGACAATCTAATAGTTGGAGCCATGACTGCTGATAGCATTGATAAGTAACACTGTTAGAAAGGAAATGAGAGCCAAGAAACAATGGTGTGTGTACTGCCTGGTTAACCTTCCCGGTGCAAGCAGTCTGAAAAGTAAATATCAATGTCAGTTTCTTATAGTAGGCCTCGGTTAATGTTTAGACAGGATTTGGGTTGTATGAACCAATGTTTATATAACCTCTTATAGGGCACTAGGCTAAGTTTGCTTTTGTGTGGCTAGAATCAATCAGTATACAAACTCTAGGTCCTATCATATAATAAAATACTTTTGCTTATAAGACAAGCACTGCTATATCGGAAATCTTTTTCAGGCCTGATTTGGTTTCAAGCTTCAGTGAAATAATGTATAAAAACATTTGACCCCTGTTCTCGGTACATGGAAATACATTTTAGTGGATCCTTATCATCTATGGAACAACAGGAAGCCAGGGTTAAATCTTTTCTCAGACTAAACTGCTGATTCTTAGGTTTTATTAAATGCAGCTAACTTTACACTCACACAGATTTAAAAAAGTAATTTGCAGAATATAAAAAACAGATCTTCATTCTGTTGTCCATGTTTTTATTTTAGGAGTAGAAGAAAACATTCAAAAGATACAAGATTGTGCATTGTACTTTTTGCTTAAATGGCTAATGATTGAAAAAGAAAGAACAAGATTACCAAGCAATATTGTGAACATTAAGGGAACTTCTTTAGTGCCATTTGTTTCATAGATTGAATTTAGAAAAAACATTACATTTGAAGGGCTTTTTGACAAACATAGGTTACAAAAAAACTAAACATCTCTCTTTCAAGGCGTTGTAATCAAAGTTGAATCAAAAAACATGTATGGGGAGAGGAGAGAAGAGAATGGGTGACTAACGCTCACAAATCCATGCAAATTCTGTATTACAAGGGGCGTCATTAAATTTCTTTTCTGAATGCGTCAGCTCAACACAATCCTCATTTCCACCATGATTATTGGGCTCCCCCTTTTTCCAGAATCCGACACCTACCAGATCAGTCCCATCCACCCACTTCCACTCGCCCTCTTGCACCATGTCAGACAGACCGATCCAGGATATGACAGTAGTTTTGCTGAGAAAATCCAGCTCTTCTTGGGTGGTTATAATAGCCAGGTCGGCTCCTCTCGCTTGACAGTCTTGTCTGCTGCCTTGCCAGGTTTTAGACGCGCTCCTACCAGAGAAAAAGTAGCACTTGTCTTGGAATCTTGTCCATCCTTGGAGGCAAGGGACACCTATTTGACAAGTATATTTTGTTTATTGTGATCTTGAAACCCTTAACTTTTAAGAAAATGTTTGGAGACCAGCAGCAAACACATTTTTTAAGCTTATGTCCAGATTTATTTATACACATTGAAGTATAGTTAATAGTGATAATAATAGTTAAGATGTCTAGTTTTATTATTTTGGCTTTAAGTATACTAGCATGCATTTTATTATCCACCCACTTCTCTTGGTGTTTGCTAATGTTCCTTTATTTTCTGCATATGCTCATATTTCCTTTCTACAGCAGTGCATCCAAATAAAAGAAGATCCCATTCAAGTCTACATGTGTAGCTTTAGTCGTTACTTACGTTTCCTTAACCCTTTTAACTCCTCTTGTAGTTCATCTTGACTTGCAGCCATAGCGTTGTATTTGCTCTGCAGAACCTCCAGCTCTTCTGTCAGGTTGCTGGAATTCATCTTAATTTGTTCTAGCTCCTCCCTCATGTTTCTGTCCATAGTCAGGTTAGAGATCAGCTGTTCAAACTTTGAGTCCATATGATTGAGAACGATGGAATCTACAAAAATATAATTTACAATCAACGAATAACCATTACAATTATCAAGTAACCACTGTTAAAGCAACAAATACTAATACATGTTTAGGTGTTTTGTGGTGTGTACTCAAGCTCATTGTTGAGTCAGTACTTACTGTGAACCTCCATCTCTTTTGTCAGGTTGCCGGAATTAATCTTTCTTTGTTCTAGCTCATCCCTCTCAGTGTTTCTGTCCATAGTCAGGCTAGAGATCAGCTGTTCCCACTTTGAGTCATTGTGATTGAGAACACTGGAATCTACAAAAATATCACTTACAATCAACGAATAACCATTCAAATGATCAAGTGACCACTGTTAAAGCAGAAAATACTAATACATTTTGAGGTTTCTTTTGGTGTGTGTACTCAAGCTCATTGCTGAGTCAGTACTTACTGTGGGCCACTATGCATAGGATTATAATCAGCGTCCCCATACACACTGCAGCAGCTCCAATCCAACGCACTGAAACACAAATCACCACAACAAAAACGCAATGAATATCCAGAAAACAATCAAAGCAAATGTGTAATTTAACTAAATGTTTAAAGCTTTGTCCCTGTTTCCTCAAGCACATCTTAGGTTTTTTGTATAAATACTACAGCTACAATTCATATTATAAATGTTGTACTGTATAGGCAATGTGGTTGAATGTGTGTTCTTACCGGATGTTTGAGTTTTAAACCCATAATTTGACATGTTGTCAGGAGCCATCAAATCACACTATCGTCCTGAATCGTATTTTCCCTTGATGTGATGTTCAGTGCTTCTGTAAAATGTGTGCTCAGTTTCCGTGTTCTTATTAAGGTCCAATAATTTGCTGATACTGCAAAATAAACGCATGGGAGTAGGACATGTTCGGATAAGAAAGACAACATGGGCGGGAGTCTTTCCAAAAGCAGAACTCTCAGATACGTTTTTTACATTGTGGTGAGTTGTTGTGGAGTATGGTATTATAATCTATGATTTCCTATCTTTCCTCATCAGGATTGTGGACTCAGCACAATTAAAGGAAAGTCAGCGAAACCCTTCTGTTAATTTCCTGTTTAAAATAGCAGGATGTAAGCCTGTGTTTGTGTGTTGTGTTGGCTGTAAGAAATTGATGTTTCGTTTAACAAGAATTGAAACCAATCTGTTCATGCCTAACCATGTAACCATGCAGGTTATAATGGGCCACAAAGAAGGCAAAAGCAACTTGAAATGTGTGCACTGCTTATATGGAAAGTCACTATAAGGACAGCACAGGTGTTGTGCACACAAAGCCACCTATTTATGTTCAACGGCATTACAAAAATAGTTTGATCACACAAAGTGAAAAGTATAGACATGAGTGTTTTCACCAAATAAAAAACAGGAAACAGCAAAAAAACATAAACCAAGATATTGACTATATTAAATAATGTAACAACCAAGTGCAGCACCTACAATGACAATTCGTAGATGTGTTAGTAATGTATGAACATGACACTACTTTATTGTTCTGTCAACAGAGGTTTTATTCCAAAAAAAAGGGAGACAGAAAAATCATACTTATAACGTAAGACCCACTGCAACTTTATTGCCATGTGTTTAGCATCTTATGATAATGCAGGTTATTTAAGGTCAAAATCGTTAAATGTTTATTTAAGAGGCAAACTATAATAAATATTGAATCTGAAAGCCATCAGAGTGTCCCCCTCTTATGGCCTAAGGGTGTACAACTCCAAAAAACCTGATAAATAATTGAGGTTATAAAAATTAAAAAATCCTCAAATTACTTTTTAGCAGTCAAAAACTCATTCCATCGCTTTTACTACAGAAAATAGAGGAAACATCTGCAGAAAGAGAAGTGGAAGAATTTTAGGAGAATAGAGGAACATAACAAAATGTGGCAAGTCACTTCCCCTGACAACTCGAGAAAATTCGTTAAAAACTATATATGTGAGAAATGACTATTACTTTGCTTTATGGCATGGAAGGAAAAGGAGGATTAACAAATTGATAATAGTTCATCCTGAGGAGAATATGAATGTCTCAACAACCCTTAAAGTTCCCATGTGATGGCTATTTCTCCTGATCATAATTCCATTGTTGAGGTATAGTAAAATAGATTTATGCTGTGCAATTTTCCAAACTCACACTGGTTTCTCATACAGCATCTCTGTAAAGTATGTGTATTCACCGGGTATTCACTCTCTATCCTAAACGGCTTGTTGGAGCTCCCCCCCCCCTGTGAGCCCAGTGTGCTCTGATTGGTCGGGACGTTAGCGAGGCTCGTTGCTGCTGTGAGCTGCTGTGAGGAGCAGACAGGCTTCTGTGTCGGCGATACAGCGAGAACAAGCGAAACTCATCCTGAACACACACAAACACTCACAGCCGAAGTAAAAACAATAAGTGTGGCTTGATATTTAGTAAGAAAAAGGTTTATAACGCTGTGAGCATGAGTCTGCGGAGAGCATTTCTCCGTGATCCCAACGTAGTAGCCCACAAAACGTTTACCCATTTAAACAGTCGTGGTAGATACAGTACCTTGTTTGTTTTAAACATCATAAATACACAAACAACAATGAATACTTACAGGTTGTGTACCCGAATCTCCCGCTGGTCCAAACAAAGTAGGAACAGCGTCGTTCTTCAGTGCCCTACGCTGTGCATATCCGGCATGAATCGCTGAAAGGTTTGGGAAGCTTTGTCTTGTGAAAGGCTGGCAGAGGGTGTGGCCTCTGGGTATCCCCACGTCAGAGTACCCAGGAAGTAAACAATGGAAAATGAGAAATCTCCAACGAGGCGTTTTGGGGAGGTCTTTTCTGTGTTAGACTTTTACCTTGAGGGGTTTTGCCTCTGCAGACGGTTTACATGCAGAAAAACCTTCATAACACAAGGGGACGGGTAATAACCGGAAAAGCATGACATGGGACCTTTAAAACGACACATTTGAAAACGCAATGGATCCAAGTAATTAATATTTTCTAAATCATTAATGTCTCTCGAAGTAAGTGCCATTTCATTTATGGTAAATTACATATATCGCAGAATTAATAAAAATCTGGCAGCATAGAGGAAAAGGGATCACCAAGGTAAATTGGACTGGTCCACAGGGGACAACATTTCTGTACAGACTTCAAAACAATCCATTGAGATAGATCCATAAGCCAATGGTGCTGTTGTGGCTCGATAGCCATGGTTTCAAACACAGACAGACATTTGTTCCATTGTTGTGCTTGAAATGTGATCTCCCGTTCATCCAGACAATCAAGCACTTAAATGTAAGAGTACTGAAGTTTCCAAAACCTTACCCAGATCCCTGAAGACTTCCCTAAACCTCGGCCTATGTTTTTAAGTGGAGCTTCACCTCAGGCCGAACCCGTGAAAGAATCAGCCAGACAGTAATGCAGCTTTCCCCCCAATGTTTCTTGTCAGTCGCGCCTCTTTACTGCTGGGCTTTGAATGAAAGCAAATGTTAAATAATACAATTAAAAAACAAATTGAGATACTATGTGGTTATTGCCAATTTACAATAAAAAGCTAAGAACATTATCAATTGCAAGCATCACCATTATATTACAGTGAACCTATGGGTTTTCAAATACCCCCAATATACGTTTATGCTACAGCAAGCTGACAGACACACAGTCTCACGTATTAAGGGACGGGTGGCGCAGTGGTCTGTGCGTTTGATCATCAGATCAAGGGGGTGTTGGGGAACTCCAGTTCGAAACCCGCTCCCGCCCCACTGCGTCAGGCCGTTGTGTCCTTGGGCAAGACACTTCACCTGAATTTGCTCCTGTGGGTATTGTCCACAGTACATGTATAATATCAATGTGTACTTGTAAAAGCGCCTCGATGACTTTGAGGTGTGAAGATGGGCGGTGTGGCGCAGTGCATTGATCAAGGGGGTGAAACCCGCCGCCGCTGCGTCTGTAAAGCCGTTGTGTCCTTGGGCAAGACACTTCACCTGAACTTGCTCCTGTGGGTATTGTCCACAGTAGATGACCATTATATGTACAGGACTGTCTCAGAAAATTAGAATATTGTGATAAAGTTCTTTATTTTCTGTAATGCAATTAAAAAAACAAAAATGTCATACATTCTGGATTCATTACAAATCAACTGAAATATTGCAAGCCTTTTATTATTTTAATATTGCTGATTATGGCATACAGCTTAAGAAAACTCAAATATCCTATCTCTAAATATTAGAATATCATGAAAAAGTATACTAGTAGGGTGTTCAACGGTGTGTGCGAAACGAATCACTTGCAATCGCTCTAATTAACCTCGAAACACCTGCAAGGCGTTTCCTGGAGCACCTTTGAACAAACACGTCAGCTTGTTCAGTAACTACAATCACAGAGGTATGGGAAGACTGCTGATCTGACTGCTGTCCGCAGGAGCGACGCGTCATTGACCCCTCCATCAGGGATGGTTAGAACACAAAAAGCAAACGTTTCTCAAAGACAAGCCTGCTTCACAGAGTGCAGTTTCAAAGCACGATCCACAAAAGCGTGCGTTGAAGGGGAAAATGTGGCGGGAAACGTTGCACACCAAGCAGAGGATGACGCAGCCTTTAACGAGCATTGTGTGAAGAAGAGCTCGCTTTCCAGAATTTTGGGGCGAGCTTCAAAGACAGTGGACTAAGCCTGGGAGTCCAGGGTATCAAAGTCACTGCTTCACAGACGTGTCGGCGAAAATGGGCTTCACAATAGCCGATATTCCCATGGTCAAGCCCACTTCTGAACAAGACCCAACGGAAAGAGCGCTCTGACTTGGAGCTAAGGAAAAAGCAAGCCACTGACAGTTGCCACGAGCTGGTCCAAAGCTACCTCTTTTTCAGACGAAAGCCAAAGTTTTGGTATTTCATTTGGAAGTCAAGCCGGCAGGAGTCTGGAGAAAAGGCTGCGAGGAGGGGAGCAAATTCAAAGAAGAGATTT